GAAAATGAAAAAAAAAAATACACATCAATTCAATCCCTGCTAATTTCACATGGAACTGGGAAAACATTTAAAATTGTAAAGCTACTATGAATCAGTAGTTGTGTTCACAGCACATTCTCCATAGCAAATTTAATTTAATAAATTTTCTGGACTCACATGTCACTGTGACTCATAAAGCAATTGTACAGACTACATATGCACAAAACTGATTAGGTGCTATCAAGTTGGTGTCAACTCTTATCAACCACATAGCCAGAATTTCTGAAGGATGGGTTCAGAACCTTTTGGATGAGAACTTTCGGGTTCTCAGGTCTTCCAACAATACATCAATCACTGCAGTAATATAGTTTATCCATTGTTCTGCAGCTCATCCCCTTTTTTTTCATTCTACATTTCCCAGCATTATGAATTTTCAAGGGAGGGGAAATGACATTGTGGCGTTACCAGTTGCAACGGAACGGAGCTCTCTGCCCCTATGCTGGCTTCTTGTTTCTGGGCTCTGAAAAGAGCCAAAAACCTCCTTGGAGGGGAGGTAAAGTTAAGGAGGAGTGACCTGTGAGGTTCCAGGGGAGATCGCAACTCACCTGTAGTGCCCCGGGGCTTCCTCCATGCCACAATGAGAGAAGAGGCAGCCTAAGATGGCTGTCACAAAGCCGGAGACAGCTTAACTTCTAAGAAGAGTGCTGGAGTGGAATTGGTGAACAGTGTTTGGAACTGGGTGAGAAGAATCCTTTTCATTTAAAGTGTAAAGCCAAAAGAATATTCAGGAAAGAGAGACTCATAACTATTTTAAAAGTGGTAGCAACCTGGCTACTTTGAGTGAAGTTTACTTTGAAACGGAAGAGAAAAGAATTAAAGAAAAAAAATAGAAAATACAGAAGATTGGATTTTCAAATTGGACAGGAAATGGCATTGGATAGGCATTTTAAAATGCTGGCGCTATTTATATAAAAAGCTAATACTACAGTTAAATTTTGGAATATTATATTAAAATTGGATAAAGAATGTTAAGACTGAAATCTGACTCAAGAGTGCCACCTGCTGTCAAAAGAAGGTACAACATATTCCCCAAATTCTGGAAAGACTTGGCTTGTGGAGATTCAAATGCGAGATTAAAAATACTTTATTACAAAAAAAAGACCTCTAAAAGCCTCAAAATAAGATGGACTTGGCAGAGGGATCTATGAAGGTTTCACTTTTGGATTACTAGAGGAACAGATTGATTTAATTTTGGGATACAAAGACTTTTGGACAATGGATATTGAATAATCTGAGAAGTGTTTTTAGGTTGGAAAATAAGATTGGACTGTTGGTTAAAAAGAAACAAACAAATAAAAATAAAGAATGAATGGAATTTGGGAAGAAATTGCTTCATTAATATAGGGTGTTAAAGACACTGACAAGAAGATGTGAGGTGATCAAGAATAAAATGCAGAGAATAGATGAAAAACTGGGAATTATGACACAAAAGACGAGAAATCAGGATGCTCATGAGGTGCGGCTAACTGAAAGAGCAGCTGGAAAAGCAGAACAGACAAAACAACAAGTAAGAAGACATGACAAAAAGGAGATAAAAATAAAAATAAGAAGGATTGGTGAAATAAACCAAGGGGGAAATATTTTAAGGGAAGTTAAAACAGGAACTGGAACTGCAGGAAGACTTTTTTGGGACAGAAACAGGGGTAAGAGTAGATAATTTAAAACTTAGACAATGGAATAGGGCAGAGAAGGGAAAAATATTTAAGAGGATTGGCCAAGTAGCGGAAGCAGGTAAAGAAGATCCAAGAGAGGAATATGGAAGACAAGTTAAGAAATGGAAAATCAAGGATTTAAAGCGGGTGAGAGATGAGGGTATAAAAGGGAATATTTCTTAAAAATAATAGTGAGACAAGTTAAAATAGGGTTGGAAGTTAGAGAAAGGGGGATTAATGCAATATATATTTTCAAGGTGAATTAATAAGGGAATCTAGACTATTAATGTTGGTAATTTTGGATGTTTGAATAATATGGTGAGGGCTATGAAAATAGTAAAAAGAAATATTGAGTAAGCAAAAATTGAAGATTATAATTTAATATAAATATGGGTATTATCAGTATAACTATATAAGTCTAACAAATATGATTATTAATATTCTAAGGATATGTAGAATTTGATTGGTATGTAAATAATATGTTGGATTATTGAATAAGATAATGGAAGATTAAACACGTGTAATATTATTATTGGAATTGTATAACTTGTCAAACACAACTAAGATGAACATTGCTTTATTTGTAAAAATATTATTAGAAAGGGGATATTTTTTAAATATGACAGTAGCATAATAAAAAATTAGAAAGGAGATAAATGGTAGATTATAATTCAATTTAAATCTGTGTATTACTATTAGAACTATATAAGATTTTTTAGCACAACAAATATGATTATTGGTATTGTATTTGTAGCAAAAGAAGTGATATCAAGAATATGGAAATTGGCATAAAAATAATATCTTGAAATACTAAATAATTAAGGAAAGATTATAATTCAACAAAATATGTATTATTACTAAAAGTTTTTAAGATTGTTAATTGTATTAAATATGAAGAACATTATATTATTTCTACTAAAATGTAAGAAACTCTGGTCCCACGCTGTTCATACAATGATTATGTTTGTAGAAAAATTAAAAAAAACTTTTAAAAAAAGAATTTTCATGGGAGCTGGGTCTTCAAATGATATGTCCGTAATATGATAATATGGACTTAGACATGAGTGAAAATTCTGAATTGATTTGTGTTGTGATCCATTTCTTGTTATCTGTTAGTGTGATATTCTCAGGAGTTTCTCCAACATCAGAGTACAAAGGTATCAACATTCTTTCTACCTTATTTCTGTAAAGTCCAACTTTCACTTCATCTTTGTAGATGAAAAGATATTCTTTGTAGATGTAGACACATCACAGCATCAGAACATCTTTTCTAAGCTTTTCATTGTTCCATTACCGAGTGGGAGTCTATGGCAAATTTCTTGATGGCAATTCTAAAGGTGCTTTTTCAAGAGGAAAAGAAGCTGAAGAAGCTTCTTGGATGAGAAGTGAAATATCTTCAAAGAAAAACCAGAAAGTCCTCTCGAAAAACCACTTTTGGGACAATCATGACCTGGATGACTAAGAATCTTCACAGACATTCTTGATGGCTAGTTCCTTTACTGTTGATAATTAATCCTAAAAGGCAGAAGCTATTTACTACTTCAATATCTTAATAATCAATTCTGAAGTGCAATATATTAGGCTAAAGTATGATTGGCTTGTTCATCATTCAATGTTATATACACACAACCAAAGTAAATCAACTTTCTCCCTCCTCGTGAGCTCCAAAACAGATAAACAGCCAGATTTGAAGTTCAAATACTTGGGAGGCTCCAAATTAGTGGTTGACAATATTATTGGGAGGCTCCAAATTGGTGGTAGACAATATTATTGTAGGCTACTTGGGTAAGACAGAATTTCTACATTTCTATGAATTTAAGAGTTATACTGTGGTTTGATCTTAAGGATTACTTTCTATATTAACTAGTCTTTTCCAGACCTCCAGACACACCTGCCACAAAGTCAATATGTACTAAACGTATTTTTGTAGGCCGCTTCTAATCCTAAACTCCCTATCAGTGTTCACTGTTGCACATGAACGGAATATTCCATGGATGTCCCTGCTCCCTGTTGTGGAGGTTAATAAATCAATGAACCATAAACCTTTATCTCTAAGAATTTCTACTTTAACACATGAACCTCTGAAGCAGTTAACAGTAAATGTTTTTATTTATATAATAAAAACATAACAATATCTATTCAAGTAATAAACAGCACTTAATTACTATGATTAATTATCCTGTCAGCTATATTTCTATATCTATATCTATTCGCTCTAAGCGATGTTATCTCTGACTATTCTTCCTCAGAAGAAATGGTCTTGTAAGCCACCAGAACTGCTCTTCTAACAGACTTCCAAACTGTTCAGAGTTGTCTAACGGAAGAGCTAAGAAGAGTGAAGAGCAAGGGTTTCTGTCAAGAATCTCCTTTTATACTGCCAACTGTGACAGTTAGGGGAGGGAACATAAAAGCCCGGGAGATTCAAACCTATTAGCTGCCCTCTGATTGGCTTATGTATCTGTCCATTCCAAAAGCCATTAATAGGCACAGCAATAGAGAAATAACTTTTCTCTAACACTCCCCCTCCCCCTTTACCTATTAAGGTAGGACGTAAAATGATATTTGGATATAAGAGTGAAATAATACGGGGTCAGCCTGGAGGATCTCTGAGAACGTTGCAAAGTTCAAAAAGTTAAACCGCAGAGCTAACTCACTTTCTACAGTTGGAGAGTTCAAGAAGTCAAACCACAAGAAATTAACTAATCTTCCTGTTCAGGCAATAATGGGAGGAGGGGGAGAGCCTAACACATAGGAGGTTTATTTCACATTTCCTGTTTTTCATTACTATAAAGATACGTGTCTTAAAGAAGGTCTTTTGTTCAGAATGTAAATAGAATGCATGTCTGAACCTTTTGGCCAAAATAAAAAAGCTTTTCTCGATCTCGAAACTTAGCTTCTTATTTTTCTGCAACATAAAGTTCATGTTATATTGTGAGAGAGAAAGATTGGCTACAATGTACAAGCTATCTGCAAGGGAACCTTAGCTGCCAGTTTGATGTTTACATTAATAAACTTTAGTTGGTAGATTCTAAGGAACTCTGGCATATTTTGGAAAGCATTGTGGAGAGAAAATGTTCTGGGACAACCACCATATCCATAATCCATGATAATTGAGCATCCTTGTCAGGAAATATGAATAGTTGAGCTACTTGAGCTACTAGTTTTAATATTAGTAAAATGCTTCCCATAAGGAAACATCTGCCAAAACTACCATTTTCAGAAGTGTGTGTGTGTGGAGGACGGGACAGTAAGATTTTGTCCATTTCATTTTGTCCTTGGGAGATACAGAAAAAGATTCAAAGTACTTACATAGTTTTCAGAGTTTTCAAGGAAATTTTGAGCAAATTCTGTAGAATGTCTTGAGTTATTTCTGTAGAACTAAGGTCCCTGCAAAAAAGGACATGCAGACTTTCCCAAAGATAGGCAGACAATTTGCAGAACAAAGCCAGGGAGAATACAGTCATGAAATTGAATGGGAGACTTCATCTCATTGGTTATCCCTTTATGACTAGGTTTACAACAGTTAATAGGTAAGTTAAAGAACGAGCATCTTCAGTCACAGAATAGGTAAAACTTAGGTTATTTTAAATCTTACTTTATGCTTTTGTGGCTAAGGATGATCTATAATTCCAGCCTATTTGTTTACAGTTTAGTGCACTGAACAAACACAATGCATGTTCAGTAGCCATTTTTCATACTTAACAACCAATTTAAGTGTTATGAATTCAAGTTTATCTGATTGGATTGTTCAAATATAAAATAAGTAAGTATTACTATTTCCAGTTACTAGTTCTGAGCTCTTTGGGGAAAGGGACACAAATAACAATATGGTAATTTAAAAGTAATAAAATGATTTGATCAGCTGCTGTAAGAAGATAGGAAAGGGACTGCTGTTGCTGAACAATACTGTACACAACTCTTCATCATGCAAAGCTGGAATGGAAGCTGATTTTCAAATGCCAGGTTATCAGTCCTCCACACATGAAGCAATGCTTAAAATAAGAAAATAAATACACATAGAGATTTTTCTTGCTATTAAATAATCACAGCTTATCACTGAGATTGTTGGCATTGGTTTCCATAGGAGTGTCAGGAGCCCCTGTATAGAGGTTAAGGGGCTGGCCTGGGCACTGGGTGACCCAAGTTCCAGTCTCCACTTAACTGTCTGAACTCCCTGGGTGATTTTGGCTCAGTCACTCATTTTCAGTCATCCTACCTCACAAGGCTTTGGTTGTAAGGGAATAAATCAATCTTGTGATAAGTTCACACCAAATAAAAATACTAACTGTTGTTTTAGAACAAGACTTGAGCTTCAATGCTTAGTCTAAAATTTATCTTTATAAATCAATTTGACTGCAATCTTCCAGTGGATACAAAATATATTGGGATGATTCCTTTTGCCATGTATTGACACAAAAACAAACATAGAATTAAAGCAACTTCATGTAATTCGATGGATTAATTCATAAATTCCAGCCTAGGCATGAGATCCAGGAACCAAGATTAAAAATCTATCATTAATGTAATTAAATGCTGCCAACTGCAAAAACAATATATACAGTGTTTCCTTATTCCTTTTCCTCTTTTTTACATATCCACATAATGCATGCCTATTTTGTTTTCTCCTCACAAAAATCACTGTGAAGTGATTTATTTATTGAACAGTTATAATCTTTTCCTTGAGACCTCAAGGCTATTTACCTGGCAGTCTCAATTAAACATAGTTCTAATCTTCTTGTGGGATCTTTTTCCTGATTCAAATTCAAATCTTAATTGTCAGTGCACAACATATGTACAATGAGATTGTTTGAACTCTCTCAGTGCACACCCCCCAACACAATACAACTCACAGTGAAGACAGAAAATCCCTAACCCAATAAATCATATTAACAAAACACCCAGTCCTATTGCCCCAGTGTGAACATGTTACACGTTGCACCGGCCCTGCAGTCCATCATACTACATAGTTATGATGTTATTTCTCATTCAGCCTAGGGATACAAACTATTCTTCAGCCTGTTTATGTGGCTGGCTATCTGGACAACTAACAGCTAAAAATTAATGACTGGTCCATGGTTATGCTATGAATTTCATGGCTGTAAGAAAATCTGAACCTAGGTTTTCCTAACCCTAATTGAGGGCCACACTGATCTTCAGATATAATAGCCCAAGCCAAGGAAAAAATGCTGAATACTTGTTCCAGAGTAAACAAACCCTTAATAAAGCCAAGAACAACTTTACACATACAGGAATTCCATTGAAGGCAATCTGTAGAAATGGGAATCCTCAATCTCTCTCAGTGGATTATGGCTGAGAATCCTGAAAGAAAGAGCTGGTTATCAGTTTTGCAAAATTGAGAGTAGCAGAATAAAATAGGAAAACAAGCAACAAATTACATTTTCTTTTGGTCTTTAAATAACATTATTATTAATTACTAATCCTACTAGTAAGAAGAAGTAATAAGCAAAAGAAATTATAGGCAGGAGACCAGAAAAAAGAAATATAAAGCCAGTATATATCAGCATATTTACTTTATCTGAGCCAAGGTGGAGCAGTGGTTAGAGTACAGTACTGCAGACAACTTCAGCTGACTGCTAGCTGCAGTTGGGCAGTTCAAATCTCACTGGCTCAAGGTTGATTTAGCCTTCCATTGTTCCAAGGTGGGTAAAATGAGGACCCAGATTGTTAAGGGGCAATATGCTGACTCAAGTGGTGGGTTTCAAAAATTTTTACTACTGGTTCTGTTGGCGTGGCTTGGTGGGCATGGCTTGGTGGGTGTGGCAGGAGAAGGAAACTGTAAAATCTCCATTTCCTCCCGATCAACTGGGACTTGGGAGGCAGAGAATAGATGGGGGCGGTGCCAGTCAGAATTTTTATTACCGGTTCTCCGAACTACTCAAAATTTCCGCTACCGGTTGTCCAGAACTGGTCAGAATCTGCTGAAACCCACCCCTGGCTGACTCTGTAAACCACTTAGAGAGAGCTGTCAAAGTACTATGAAGCGATATATAAGTCTAAGTGCTATTGCTATCTCACTGTATCTTTCTACCTTGTCAAGTATCTTTGTTTTCATCACACCTATACCCATCTTTTATCTGGCCTTTATTATTTTTCACTTCTCTCTTTTGAGATCCTCATCAATTCCATCCAGCCATGTTTTCCTTTTCTCCCAGTCCTCTTTCTTCATGTATTTTGCTTTGCATTTCAATTCTCATTCAGTCTAAACAATCTCTACATTATCTCTTCCATACTGGCTAATTACTTTTGTGTTTAATCCACATTTATTCATCATCAATTCCTTAGGCCCTATGATTTCTTTTAAAGAAGCAATATACGTGTTAACCCATTTCCACTGAATTCTACTTTTTATATTTATCTGGCATACTTAGTTTTCCCTTTCAGTCAAAAAACTGGCATATTCTTATACTCAACAACATTCACTAAGTCTTCAAGACTAAAAATTTTCATGGATCTTTCCTCCATTTTCCTTTAGATTTATCCAAGTTAATATTTGCTTCTTTTTACAGGAAGGAATTTGTCTGGTTTATTTTACACCAGATGCAATGCTACATTTCAGGTGTCCTAAATCTATTTCTGCTTGTCCATCTGTTCCTGTTTTCCCTTTCTATTTTTCTACTCAATTGAAGAACAGGTTCCTTTTACCACCAAATTTATTTGAAAGATTTTTTTTTTTATTACTAGTCTCTCATTTCTGAGCAATCTTTGAGGTCAATATGATTTCATGTATGTTAAATGTAACAATAATGTGACCAATGTTCTCTACTTGTTCCATAAAATCTTGTGTAGATTATGGGCATTTTTTAAAGATTAAAAATTGGCTAATCTTTCCCATGATGGGTTCCAAGACTAATAAGAATAAGGGTAGGAAAACTAGAAATTTACTTTCTTTATCATGGCCTAAGCATGAATATCCAGTACTATGTATGAAGTCTAATAATTACAATTTCTACTTTGTGTTCCTTCTTTATTTCACTCAACATCTTACTGACACCTCAACATTTTTATCAGGTAAGTGATAATATATCCCTAGATTTAATTTATATTTGTAGCCATATCCATAGTGATTCTTTGGAGAAATCTAGTCTTTTTAGCACATCGGACTATGCTGCTCTTGATACAAAGAACAGCAGAATTTTCAGTGCACCCATTTTTGTTCTTTATATAAAGGTCAGATCCAGGAATGAGCATATATGCTCTCTTTCTCCATTCTACACAATAGATTTATGTCCTCATTCTAAACCAAATACAATGTTTTAAACACTTTTGACTTAGAGGAGTCTAGTATTGGTACAAAAACACTAATATACCCAATGTTCTTTTTGATGTGAACCCTTTTCACAGCCTTTTTGTCTCTTTCCCATCACCTAACAATCATGATATCCATTAGACAAATTTAATATTAAACCATCTGTTCCTAATGTTCAAATCTCTCACATCCACTACACAAGATGAGGTGACTTTATCACTTAGGAGTTCAATCCTTCCTAAAGAATATATTGCTTACTTAGCCTTACAATTTTCCTTCTTCTCTAAGACCCTTGTTCTTCTAACAACAAAACTGCCATCCTGGCACTGGGACAAACATAACCCATTGTCTATAAGTTATTCTTATAGTTTTTCTTCATAAGACAAATATGTACTCCTACTTAAATCCTTATTTGGTCTTCTCCCAAAATGATCCTATTCCATCAAAGGCTATTTCTCAAATTTTACAGACTAAACCAATGGTGAAATTCTTTTTTTTTTTTACTACTGGTTCTGTGGGCATGGCTTGGTGGGCGTGGTGTGACTTGGTGGGCATGGCAGGGGAAGGATACTGCAAAATCTCCATTTCCACCCCACTCCAGGGGAAAGATACTACAAAATCCCTCATTCCCCACCCCATTCCCTCCTCACTCCTGGGGGGAGGATATTGAAAAACCTCCATTCCTACCCCACTCTGGGACCAGCCAGAGGTGGTATTTGCCAGTTCTCTGAACTATTCAAACTTTCTGCTACCGGTTCTCCAGAACCTGTCAGAACCTGCTGGATTTCACCCCTGGACTAAACAATAAATTTAATACTAGCTAAAGTTGAGAGATTATTGTTTTCATGGAATACATCCCAATTAAATTATTTTTTACTCGCAGATTTTTGAGAATGAGGTTAGTATAGTATAGGTTTAAATTTGTGAAGAATTCTACTACAGCACTTATCTTTTTGTCAAAAGTTAAGGTTAAAAAGTGATATGGAGGCATCTTTTCTGCCCTTCCCTCTCTAAGGATGAGTTGTATGAAAAACACTGCATGAAAAAAAAAGGTTTCTGAGAAAATCCATAGTATCTCAGAGGGCTATCTTAAAATTCTGTCACTGTATTTTGGTGACTTGCCTTAAGGACATATTGTAGCAACAATAAATTGAAGGATCATTGTGTGCTAGGAGTGCAATGAGTCTCCACTTATCTGATGCATATTTGTAGAGTTAAGTAAGAATTTATCACAAAATACTAGTTATTACTTACTCCAAGGAAGCAGTATGGAATAATTATAGGCAGAACTTGTGTTATTGGAAAAGTGAGGTGTAAAATCATAACAATATTTTAAAAAATAGCCCAGATATGTCTGGTAGGTTTGGAGATCAGGATATCTGGCTTGGAGATCAATTTAGAAACTGTTGGCTGTCCCTACTCAGAGGCTATCCTTCAAAAGAGTAGTGTTTGGATGAAATCTGTCAAACAAGCCTGTTAATCTCCTGCAGGCATTAGCGGAGACTTTGTGCCCCATTTTTAGAAATCATCTGTCTCACCCACTATCTGAAAGAGTTTCACTTTTACTTACACCTTGGATAGAAACAGCATCCCATGCCAGGTCTGAAAGGTCCCTTCCATTATACGCAAAATACAGTTGCCACTGAGATTGCTGGAAAGGAAATTGAAGCAAGAGAGCTATGTAGAATATCTTCCAACAACACATAAAGCAAGGGAGAACAACAGGAACTTTTTTTCCTTCCTCATTGAATGGGGATGTGAGAATTGCATTGCAGCCACATATGAAGGTTACATCTTCCTTTTTCCAATGAAGTAATTGGATAATACCATTTTGATCTTCTAAACAACCACTCCAGGCTTCCTCCAACTACTGTGCCAGTTCTTCAATCCAAAAGCTCCAATGCATATTTAGGATTGGACTGCTATTAATGGACTATCATTATTTAATAGGAATGCAGAGCTCATGATTCAAAGGGCAAATGAAATCCTCTGCAAGCAATATAGTTTTGACTCTATATGAACTCTCTTTGTTCATGTTCTTTTGACTCTCTACTATGAACTAGATTCCAAGTTCATAGTCAGTTCTGTAACTCCACAAAAGCACTGTAGCGTTTTCCCACTTATGAAAACTCAGGTCTGGCACTCATAATCAAGCCTAGAGCTGAATCTTGATCCAATTTGATCCCAGAGTTCAGTTCAAATTCATTTAGGGTATTTCTTAGAACCGTGATGGTAAACCTATGGCATGCGTGCCACAGGTGGCATGCAGAGCCATATTGATGGGCATGCTAACATTCCCTAGCTCAGCTCCAGCATGCATGCATGCACTGGCCAGCTGATTTTTGGGCCTTCTGGGCCCACCAGAAGTTGGCAAACAGAAGGGGGTGTGGAAGGCTGTTTTCGCCCTCCCCAGGCTCCTAGAAAGCCTCTGGAGTCTGGGGAGGGCAAAAAACGGACCTACCAGGCCCACCGTGCATCACATGCCAAAAGCGAGGGGAGCGGGGGGGGGGCCTGCATGCATGGGGGGGGAGGGCACATAAAATTATGGGTGTGGGCACACACACACGCGCGACTACCCCGCACTCTCCCAGCTTTTGGCACGCAATGGCAGAAAGGTTAGCCATCACTGTCTTAGAACATGCAGAACATGCAAAGAGTCATCTGGTCTTACCTGGGATTATAGATCATCCTCTAGGGAGAAAGCTGCTTCTTTCAAACTTGAGTTCAAGCTCTCTTTCCCCATTTAAAAAATTGTGGGATAGCTAACCTTTCAGTAATGTCATTGATAGATACACAACTGGGAGAATTAACAGCATTCAATTTCAATTTATCTCCTTCCCCAGTTTCCATGATAGTTTAAACTGGTTTGGGTTTTTTTGTTTAATGACTTACATAGATTTCAGAAATGGAAGATGGTCAAATGCATTTGTCTCAATGGTCTGGATTTGATTATATGAAACATCCCTGTTTAAAAAAGCACACACAGCTGAAACAAAATGTCCAACTCTATCTTCATCTCTCATAGTTGCTTTATGTGTTTTTCATTTATTTGATAGCCTGTAATATTAGCTTTAATAAAAGATAACAAGCCAATGTGTGGTACATTGATGTGAGTGGCACAGCACTTCACATACACCAAACTTCTTTGTGCCATTGTTTTTCCATCCACCCCTTTATAACTTAATTCATGTTTGCAGTAGTATTAGTCATGGCAGCAAGTAGAACATTGAACATGGGGAATTATAGCCCCAACATACAGCCATTTTGGTCTAGTGGTTAAGGCATGATGCTAGAAACCAGAAACTATGAGTTCTAGTTCCACCTTAAGCATGAAAGCTGACTCTCTCTCCCTCCCTCCCTCCCTCCCTTTCTCTCTCCCCCCGAATTCACTTCACAGTTGTTCTTCTGGGAAAAGTAGGAGGGAAAAGGAGTAATACAATGTGTTGTATCCTAATAAATAGGAATTCTGCTAATAGGAATTTTGCTCATCATGACCCAAATTCTGGGTAGAGAGCCAGGTTCAACTTATTTTCTAAAAGCCTAAGAGCCAAAATATATGGGACTCCTGATTTCACAAGGTGACATTGTTTTAGACGAAGGACTTAGAATGTGCCCTTCCTGTTGGTATATGTGGGATGGGAAGAGCAGATATCTTGTAAGAAGGTGATACTGAAGGTGATACTGTGGATCTATGTCATGCAAGATTTGATAGATTTGCATCTGGAATACTAGAGGGACCCAGAGCATTTCACAGAATAGAACTATTGCAAGGGCACCACAAGCAATATTCATAATTACCCATGTCATGTATTCTGAATGGAAGCTTCTGGATGTTCTTGAAGGGAGATCTATGTGGAAGGCATTTCAATAATTCAAATGCATAGTTACTAAGAAGTGAGTGACCATGAGGAGGTCTCCCTGATCCAGGAATAGGTGCACAAGATGAAACTCCGCAAAGGCTGCACCTGGTCAAAACCGACACCTTGTCTTCTAGCACAGCAGTCACCAACCGGTGGCCCATGGACCACTGGTGGTCCGTGAGAAAATTTTGGCAGTCTGCAGAAAAATTATTTGCATTTTTATATTGCACTAAATACTATTTCTCTTTTTAAAAAATTCTTATTAGTGGTCCGCAAGATTTCAAATTATGAATTTAGTGGTCCCTGAGGTCCGAAAGGTTGGCAACCCCCATTCTAGCAGATTGCACACTGAATCTAAGTAAGACAGTCATGTCCAGAGTTATAGGTGAAATATCTCTAGTTCTAGGACTTGTGGGCCCAAAACCTTTCGGTCTTGGTGGTTTTGAGCCAAATTTATTCTTCATCATCTAGACCCCTTCCCGTGCCCCAGTGTCTAGACATGGGATAGAACCTTGACAGCTTTATTCAGGTAGACAGGAACAGAGAAATACGATTAAGTATAATCAGCAGAAGTTGAAGTTTACTTAATCAGTATTGCAGCAAGCAATAATTAATGCATTGCTCAACCAAGGTATAGACACTGCTTACATAAAGTTACTACAATCAATAAATGAAAAAATAATGATGACAATTTGCCTTAATAATCTTAAAATGGATATCAACATAGAATGAGGTGTATGACAAGATGATACAATATCACCTATCGTTTTCTCAGCCTGCCTTGAAGAAGTATTTCGCAAACTAGACTGGGCAAAAGATGAAATAAAAATCAATGGTACCTATTTAAATCACTTAAGATTTGCAGATGATGTTGTTTCTCTTCTCACAAGACCCAGAAAAGCTACAAAGACACATACAAGAGCTGCACAAAGCAGGAGAACCATTTGGCTTAAAAATAAACCTGAAAAAGAGCCAAGTTATGTTTAAGAAATTCACCAAAGCAAGAAAAAAAATTATATCGGGAGAAGAACTAGACTTCGTAGACCACTACATACTGAATACCTTACTCAACCAATATCAATGGAAGGAGATACAATAAAGGAAATTGAACAAATTGTTAATATGGTTGGCAGACATTCGGCAAGCATAATTTTCAAGAACAACCTCCCCCTATGTCTGAAGAGAAAAGTTTTCAATCAGTATGTACTACCTGTTCTAACATATGCCGGTGAAATCTGGACACTAACCTCACAATTGATACAAAAGCTACAAGTGGAACAAAGAGCCATAGAAAGATACATGCTCAGCATTACAAGACAAGATAGAAAGACCTGCACATGGATTAGACAACAAATGAAAGCATACAATATCATCAAGAGAGTAAAAGAATGGAAATGGAAATGGGCTGGTCACATAACAAACAGAACTGATGGCAGGTGGACCAAGATAGTCATAAAATGGATCCCACTTGATAAAAAAGTGTCCATGAAGGAGATCTAAAACAAGATGGATTAACTATATCAGCAAGTATTGTGGGCCCAATTGGCAAAAGGAAGCTCAGGACCGTATTGGTTGGAAACATGCAGAAGAGGTCTTCATCCTTAATTGGATAGACAATGCAAAAGTGATGATGATGATGATGGTGATGATAATGATGATGATCAGCAGCAGCAGAAGTATCTTTTCTTCTGCTTCATCTTCTGGGAGTTCTCAGGTACCCCTCAAATTACTGGGGCCTGCACATAGTCTACATAAGTGTGATCCAAACTAAAGCTACCATTACTTCCTTATTTCATATATCAGAGCCTCAGTGACAATCCCCTTCCATCTGAAACTCAAGTGGGACCATTATACACCAGGAGTGGAATTTTCGAATAAGTCTAGCATTCCTGCAGAAAGCGTGTACTACAGTAAATTTAGGATTAACAGAAACTTATCTGTTCATGACAAGTGTTTGGCGGTACTGTGTCCAACGGCAGGCAATGTTTCCATTGTCCTGAGACCATGTCCATCATGTGCTTCTCCTGTGGTTTGAGTTAGTAATAAGGAGTCAGCTGCATTGTTGTCATGGTGACTATGAACTCCCAGGCACCTTTGATCCATGGATGGCAGGATGAACTCCCCCAGAATCATAAAATTGGGGAACTCCATTGCCAGGCTACATATGGCATCAAGTAGCAAGGGCAAGGAGATTCCTATATGTTATGTATATAGTTTTGGCGGGAGTCAGCACGTTTCAGGTCACCTATGACAAGTACCGGAAAGAGCTACCCCTCACCATGGTCAGTGAGACACTACCGAGCCTCCTAGGGCTGGACTGGTTCAAGGCCCTAGGAATGGGATTCACCGGCGTCCATAGCGCCAGCGGCAGCACCCTGAAGAACAACCTCATGCAGGAGTTCCAGGACATCTTCAACGACCGGCTGGGCAAGTACGTGGGGACCCCTATTTCCTTTAACCTAGACCCCAACGTATCTCCGATCAGACTGAAGGCTAGGCGAGTGCCTTTTGCACTCAAACCCAAAATTGACTTGGAATTGGATAAGATAAGACCCAACCCCAGAGGCACCAGTTCTCCTTATTGATGTTTTGGACTTGGGGCCCCTTACTTCATCGGAAGTAGCGAGAGCCTCGGCAAAAGACCATGCGCTGAGAACTGTCATGAGTTGGGTCACGAGGGGTTGGCCAGCAAAGACTGAGGGCGGGGAATTCAAAGCATTCGTTACAAAAAAAAAATGAACTGTCTATGCAAGGGGATTGTTTGTTATGGGGTGACCGTGTCATTGTGCCCTTATGCTTAAGGGAAAAAGTTTTTAAAATGTTACATGAAGGGCACCCGGGAATTGTACGGGAATTGTAGTTTTTCCAATCTTACTTAATTTGTTTTACCAAACCTTTGTAATGATTTGTCTTTGTAATTCTGCACTTGATATGGCCCAAAGGGCTAATCAATAAATAAAATTGAATTGAATTGAATTGTACGAATGAAGGGTCTAGCTAGGAGCTATGTATGGTGGCCTCAAATGGATAACGACATCACCGAGTGGATGGGGAAGTGTAACCCCTGTCAAGAGTCCAGGCCAGATCCCCTCACAGCACCGGTCAGGGAATGGGAGCATCCCCAGGGGCCCTGGTCAAGGATTCACATAGATTTTATGGAAAAAGCTGCAACTGTCTTTACTTGGAAGAATAGCAGCAGTTAAGATGAACATTTTGCCAAGATTTCTGTTTTTGTTTCAAATGATTCCGGTGCTTAAAAGTGATAAACAACTGAAAGTTTGGCAAACTGGACTTAATAAGTTTGTCTGGAACGAGAAAAAGCCGAGAGTGAAATTGAAAATTATGCAAGATGTTCCAGAAAGAGGAGGCCTTAAACTTCCAAACCTACAGTTATATTATGATGCAGCAGCTTTAACTTTAACAAGTGATTGGTTTGGAAGTAAAAAGGCTGGAATATTGAATGCAGAAAGTTTTGATCTTGAATTTGGATGGCATGCTTACCTATTTTATGATGATAAAGTTGATAAAGTATTTAAAAGTCATATACTTAGAGACTCTTTGATGAGAGTTTGGAAGAAGCACCGACTCAAATGGGATTATAAAATACCGCTATGGCTGGATCTTGGTCATACCTTGTGGAATACAAATATAATGTCACTCGGGGGGTTTTTATACAAAGAGGTTCTTTTTACAGATGCGGGCAGATGGCAGTTGAAGACATTGCAGACACTGTTGGACGAAGGGATTAATTTAACCTGGTTACAATATAATCAATTACAATTGAGATGGAAAGAGGACCAAAAAACTGGTATTATGTTGCATGAGGAAGAATTGGTTAGACATATAAGAGAGAAAGGTCCAATGCATATTAAACGGCTTTACAATGTTTTGCTAGAAAGGGATTCAGAAACGGAATTAGTTAAAGATTGTATGATTAAGTGGGCACAAAATTTTGAAGAACCAGTGATGTTGGAAACATGGGAAAAAATTTGGGTTCAGAATGTTAAATTTACACAGTCGCAGAATTTGAGGGAAAATTTTTATAAAATGTTTTATAGATGGCATCTAGATCCCAAAAAGTTGTCATGTATGTACCCTAATGTTCAGCCAAAATGTTGGAGATGTGAATGTTTGGATGCTACGTATTATCATGTTTGGTGGACCTGTAGGAAAGTTAAGGCTTTTTGGATAAAAATATGGTGGGTCATGCAGAATGTTTTGAAGAAAAAAATTCAATTTTCTCCACAATTGTTTTTATTGGGTATAGTTAAGGGTTTTACACGGGGTGAAATAAAATTAATATTGTATATGATAACAGCAGCAAGATTGTTGATAGGTAAATATTGGAAGAATGAAGCTTTGCCTACTATCGAGGAATGGACTTTGAAGATGGCCAGTTTTGCAGAGATGGCGAAGATTTCAGCATATTTAAAAGATTGCTCACAAGAGACTTATGAATGGGAATGGAAAAGGTGGATAGAATATGTTCAGAACAAATACCAAACTAGAAAGTACCAAATAGCTTTTATTTGAAAACAATGTATTAGAAATATTTTAATGTAAAGAGATAAAGAGGGAAAATTATATAGGGGGAGGGATGGGTTCAGGTATATATATCAGTATTATTAGTTATGAGTATATAATAGGGAAGTCTGGGGGGGGAGGGTTAGGGAGGGCTAGGGAGGACGGGAAGTTTGGGGAGGGAGGTGGGGGTGTGAAAAAAAAAGGGGTGAAAATGTAATTGTAAAACTTTTGCAATAAAAAAATAAAAAAAAAAAAAGGATTCACATAGATTTTGCAGGGCCTTTCCATGGCCAAACCTTTACGGTGATCATCAACGCCTTTTCAAAGTGGCTCGAGATCGTTCTCATACCATCCATGAGTGCCGAAGCAGTCATAAAGGCACTCCGCAAACTCTTTGGCACCCATGGGCTGCCCAACACCTTAGTGTCGGATAACGGCCCCCAATTCACCGCCACCCAGTTCGAGGGATACTTGGCAGAATAAGGCATCCGGCACGCGCTCTCGGCCCTGTTTCATCCGGCCAGTAATGGATTGGCTGAGAGATTTGTAAGAACGGCCAAAGAGGCACTGGCACGGCTGGACGCAGGAGACTGGCAAGCCCGAATAGACAAATTCTTAGCAGTCCAACACGCCATCCCTTGTACAACCACTGGGCGCAGTCCAGCCGAACTCCTCATGGGTAGAAAGCTCAGGTGTACCTTGGACCGATTGCACCCCAACTACTCCCCGGACGGGTTTAGAGGGGCCGACCAGAAGTTACGCGGGTTTCAGAAAAGGACACCGGTGTTCGCTAGGAATTACTCAGAGGGTCCCCTGTGGGTGGCCGGGGTGATCTCTGACATAAAGGGCCCCAAATCATGCACAGTGGATGTGGGAGATGGAAGGATCTGGCGTAGGCACATCGATCAACTTAGGAAGAGGTTGGCCGGACAGCCAGAAATGTACTCAGAAATATCAGGCCCTGACTACCAAAGTTTTCCTACAACAGCTAACTCAAGTCCGAGAAGGTTGGAAGACTTAGCTGCAGACTCCGGGATCCAGTGCCGCCCCAGAGAGGTAATATATTTTCTCAGTTGGTATAGGTTTGAGACAGCCTGTCACTAAGTATATTGCTTCACTGATCTAATCTCTAAGTAACTTCACAAGTAGGGATTCATATCCAGTTATCTAAGGGGCAACACCCAGTGGTGGAATTCAATTTTTTTTACTACTGGTTCTGTGGGCATGGCTTGGTGGGTGTGGCAGGGGAAGACTACTGCAAAATCTCCATTCCCATCCCACTCCAGGAGAAGGCTACTGCAAAATTCCCATTCCCTCCCCACTCCTGGGGGAAGGATATTGCAAAATCTCCATTCCCACCCCACTTTGGGACCAGCCAGAAGTGGTATTTGATGTTTCTCAGAATTACTCAAAATTTCTGATACCGGTTCTCCAGAACCAGTCAGAACCTGCTGAATAACATCCCTGGCAACACCTATTCACAACTCCCTCCCAAAACATAGCAATTCTGCTAATAGCCTTGGTGCTACATTCCTTCTTTATGCTCAGCCAAGTCTCAGTAATACCTGGCAAATTGACTGCCTCAGGATTAAATCCATAACTAGGGTTCAGGCTTTATTACAAACCTATCTAATATTCAAAAACTGCAGCATGCCCCTAGTTGTCAGAAATTTGATCATTAGGAATTTTACACTTTAAAAGTGGGACAGTACCTTGGGAGATAACAAGTAAGACACTGCTAGAAACAGAAACTTACAGGTGTACAAGGAAAAACAAGCCATCTAAAGATATATTGTCCAGCCTGCTCAAGCGATTGTTCTTGAGAATCCTAAAGAAATGAAAGAAAATTTAGAACAACATACTGACAAAATCTCAGCCTTTCACCGAGGTTGAAGATGGTCATCATGCTAACTGTTTTACTAGTCCACTTGTAATGGTGAGACACTTGTGATGCATAATCATTAAGGGCAGTACTGTCAAACTTGTGTCCCACGGGCCGGATGCATCATGCGCTGGCCACGCCCACACCCACTTTAGTGAAAGGGAAAAAAGTCCAGATACATCACATGACTCTGCCATGACAACGCGAGTTTGACCCCTCTGATCAAGGGTCTAGTGGGCAGGGAGCATTCTCCGTTTGCATCCAGCTACCTCAAGGATGATCTAAGCCCAAATCACAGTAAAGAAGGGGATGGAAATGCATATTTCTTCCACATAAGTTACATAGGAGGAACATGAGAGTATACTCACAAGTTCTCAGTCAAAGGATAGGCCCACCACGCCCATTTGTCAATGGAAGAAATTGCATTTTCAGTGAAATCCCTGGAGGGGAAAAATAAATATAGGAGAATATAATTCAAATGGATACTGCCAGGTGAGAATATCTTGAAAAAAACATCACATTCTACCTCAAACACATTAAATAGAGTGTAAGTAAACATCACATTAATCTGACACACTAAATGGAGATAATATGTCAAGAGACAACTCAATCCACTACAGAACTTTCTCAAGCTCAGCCACAGATGTTTAAAGAAAAGCAAGGAAGGAGCTTCAGGTATGTTTCCCCTTAGACACATTCTCATCTTTGTTATTCACAAAAATAGGGAAACTGTAGCAGCTCTAAGTTTCTCAAACAACAGTGAGAGATGCTGACAGTTACAGTCACTTCTGGAAAGTCACAAGTTGCCTAGAAGTAGACTATAAAATGAAATATTAGGAAGAAACTGATCCTATAGTATTTCTTGACTTGGCTCTACATTGGTGGAAAGAGCTGCCTTGACAATTTCTGTTAAAAACTAAATCAAACATTAAACTAAACTGAAATTTGTGAACATAAAGATTTTTCTAAGACCATATATACAGCACATATCTAAGCACATATAATGCTCTCTCTTTGTTTATATCCTTATCAAAGTACAGCAAATGATGTTGGAACTATAACTTCATCTTCTTTATCACCACACATATGTTCCCAATCTCTAGATACATCAATAAAAATTGGAAGGCTGTTTGCTTTCATGCCTAAGGGAAGCCTAGAACTCAGATGTTTGTGATTTCTAGGCCAGACCCATAAACTTTATACTAAACTGATTTTTTAATATAATCAAAATAGATGAAGTTCTACTTTATTATTTTGTCACCTCTTTCTAATATATATTGATATCATCTATTGAGTCTACATGGATGATTTTTATATAAATACATGTGCCTATCAGTGGTGGGTTGCTACTGGTTCACACTGGGTCGGGCGAACTGGTAGCGGCTATGGTAGGAGGCTCTGTCCACCTGCCCAGACGCTTCTGCGCATGTGCAGAAGCACCGCACCCATGAGCAAACCGGTAGCGACAGGATTTGGAACCCGCCCCTGGTGTATATATTTCTAAATAATATAGGTGAACAAATTTCTTGAAATTTGATAATTATTTTTCATTTTTGTTATTTGATAAGCAGTACTTTCTTTTAAAAAAACTGTCTTGGGCTTTTCTAATAAACTTTTTTCTTGATCTGAAATTTAATCTTTGAATATGTTAATTAACAAAGGTCTGTTTTATACCCATCTGCCTTAGTGTGCAGAATAAATATCTATTTCAGATTATTTTTGAATTAGGTCTTCTCCAGATGTTTTGAATTACAAGAACTATTAGGTCTACAGAGTTGTTGGATCCCATTTTCCATTACTTATAGCTAGCATATCCATGCTAAATGATGGTAATGCAACAATTAATTATAATATTGCCATTGCACTTTGCTACCTCTTCTTTTTGGGTGCCTTCAAGTCATTAATGACTTCTTGCAACTTCTTGTACAAGTACCTGCAATTTTCTTGGCAGGATTTAGGAAGTGGTTTACCAAAATGTTATTCTTAGGGCTGAGAGAAAATAACTAGTCCAAAGTTACACCATACTTTAGAATAAGGTGGCCTTTAAGTTATATAAATCATAAAAAAATATTTTGGCTTCTGAATTTCATCTCTGTCTAGATGATAAGAGAAGTGGATAGCAAAACAATTATTAAACAGACAGTTCTCATACAATACATGATATTTTTTTTAAAAAGTTTTATTTTTTAGACAAACACACATACAAACATACAATGTATTTTCTTGAACAGAGTATTTGGCCAATTCACAAATTTAAACAGTGTTTAGTCATTTCAATTAAATTTACAATTTCTATATTTCCTTTTTGCCATATTTATTTCTCATGTATTTTTTTAAAGAACCAATATTACCCTTCATTCTCATCTCTAACCTTAACCAAATTCAATTTTTCCCTTCTATTCTATGTTATACGGCTTCCCATTGTCATCTATTTTTATACGTATCTATCCTCAAATTAGTTAATTATGTAGTATTACAATTGTTCAATTCTTATGGGAATAATAAACCCACTTATTTTATAATATACATTTCTTTTGATAATACAAATCCAACATTTTAATATAAATAAGATATCTCCCTTTCCCCCCTTTATATATTAATCAATATGAACATGAATATTCCAATTATTTCCATTTTCATGCAATCCAATTTCTTATAAATCAGTTAATTATGTTTACATGGTAATAATAAATCAAATAGTTTTCCCCATATGTTCCTCCAAACCACAACTTAACCATTTCTACTTTCACCACAATAAACAATTAAAAGTATTTCAGTTATTACAATTTCCTTAGTTGAATAAAGCTTTCCCCATATATTACTCATTTTCAAATCTTAAACTCTCCTAAAAAAAACAAATAGTTTCCCCCATATGTTCTTCCTAACCAACTTAATTATTTCTGCTTTCATCACAATATACAATTAAAAATATTTCAATCATTACAGTTTCCCTAATTAAATTTAAAAATGTTCTAACTGTTATCCTCTAATCATAAAGCTTTCCTCATATATTACTCAAAGTCACAACTTACTCTACTTTCGCCACCATATACCATTAAAGATATTTCAATTATTAGTTTAAATTTATTCATATTTCTAAAAAAAAACCTTATCATTGTCTAAATTTCAAAGATACAAATAAAAATATTCCCATTATTATTCATTTCATTTTTGCAATCATATGATTTCCCCTTTATTTCTTACTACAATTCATATTTCAATTTTAAATATATACAGCATATTGCTCTTTCATTTCTTCTTCTTTTTCTCCCTTCCCATTTTTATTTTTGCCTTTTTATTCCCCCCTTTTTTCTTTTGCACTTTAAAATCTTGAACACTCTTATTTTGCCCTAAATTTCTTCTCTTTTCTCCTTTTCTTATCTCCCCTTTTCTTATCCCAGTGTGATCATTCTGTATTTCACAGTCCTGGATTCTTCTATTTTGCCCTGCATTTCCTGTTGTTTTCCATCCTTTTTCTCTCTTTTTTATCTTTTCACTGTTAATCCCAGTGTAATAATTTAAGTTTTTATGTTCTTTCTATTCCACCCTTCTTTCCTTCTTTGTCTCTTCCACCCTTTCTGTTTTTTCCATTGTTAATCCCAATGTAATCTCTAGAAACCTCCTTTTTATTATTACTATCCACATATTCGATTAATTTTCCAAAATTAATCTCATTGTTTTTATCTTCTTTATTTTCAGTCTCTGTGTCTTGCTTCTCTGTCTTTATTTCCTTATCAGCTTGAGCATGCTCTATCTCAATTTTTGGGTCCTCAAGTTTCAATTCTCCATGTAACATTGTAATTATTCCTCTTATTTCCACTTTCCATAATGAGTACAACATTTCCATCATTTCTCTAATTTCCTGTGCCATTTTATTCTTTCTGTATTGATATTATTCCAGTTTTAAAAGTTTCATTGTTTTCCTTTTTTTCCCCAAAGTCAAACCGCTTGCAGACAAAGCAATCCTCCCCAAAAGTTCTCATGACTGTTATCACTAATACAGTTCAAAATTTTCCAAAATGATTCCAAATTGCAATGATCTTTTTTCTCCTGAAGATGTCTCTCTACAATCCACAATTCCTCTTAGTTGTTTAACAAAGTATCCATTTTGTATCAATCTGCATTAACAGTCTTTATTAGCTTCTTTTTTCTTCTTTTTAACTTTGAAAATACCAAATCAATTTTATAGTCCAGTCCAAATTAAACAATACTCGCCCCCCCTTTTTCCCCCTTTTATTTATCTTTAGATATACAGCACTTCTGTTGAAGGGCTTGATGTCCAAATCTCTTATTTTTGTTTTTTCATTCAAGAAAAAGGATCTATTTATTTTCTTTCCAATCCTTTAACCACTTTTGGGGTTACTTCTTCTAATTCTTAAAATTTTCCAAATACTTTTATTCAAAGGTCAATTTACTTTTCAGGTTTTGTGTCCCTTTAAATTCAGCTTACATCCTCTTTTCTTCCCCCGTGCCCAATAGCCGCTATTTTTACGCTGGGGTTTTTTCAGGTTTAAAAATTTTTTGTTGTTATTTCGCCTATGGATTGGCTGTCATTCACCCAACTTCAAAAACTCCGTTGCAATCACCGCTCCTGCACAATACTTAGTCCGGTTGCCCCAGTTTTTTGACAGCTGCTATGGCTGATGTCCCCACCATCGAATCGGAGAGAGATTCCTCTGATCTTTGAGGAACTTGCCTGTTCCTCTTGGTCTTCTGAGGTGCCTCTCCTTCTTCCCCATCCCTATAGGTTGGTTCTGGTCTGAAGATCCCTCAGCAACGGTTCGTCAGTCCGGGTTTTCGTGGAGCTCATCAGAACCTGCTAATTTCCCAACTGTCTCGCCGCAACGCTTCCAGTCAAATCCATATAATACATGATATATAAACTCTATCTGCAGGTTTTCTATCTGTAGTTTACTGTACTGTAGAATACTATGATTGACTTCACATAACATGTGAACACAATCACGTTATGCAATGTTTAAAGTTTATCTATGATTGAATCTACCATGTTTTCCCAAAAATAAGACCTGGTCTTCTTTTATTTTCGGCCTCAAAATAAGCACCAAGTCTTATTTTCAGGGGATGTTTTACCTACTTACCTTAGGACCACTGCAGCCAGGCCTCTCACTCCCCGACATCTGTTGTGCCACTGCCCAACTTCTTCTATGGCCCCTCGCCATGTGGCTCATCACACTGGTGCTACCACTCACAGCAGGAAGCTATGTGATGCATTGTGTTGTGTGCGCAAGCAGCATCAGGGTACGAAGAACATTGCAGCATCTTACCACAAGTGGCAGCACTGGTATGATGAGCCATGTGGTAAGTGGCCACAGAAGAAGTTAGGCAGTGGCGCGACAGGTGTCAGGGCATAGAAGGCCTTGTGGTGGTGGTCTTATGGTAAATGAGTATGGGGCACGTGAGGCACCTCCATCCCCTCACCCTAGCTTGATTTTTACAGGTGTGTCACCCCATCTCATACAACCAGACAGTGGGCAGGGCTTAATTAGGGCTTATTTTTGGGATAGGACTTATATTAGGCACAGGCGTAAAAATCAGGCTAGAGCTTATTTTTGGGATAGGTCATATTTTCAGGGAAACATGGTATATATTGTACAAAAACCAAATTGAAATGAAAAAAAATGCTCAGCTGATTTCACAACAGTCAAATTCTAAACCATAGTTTATAAACCAATGACTTCACCAAACTGGCTGCCAAAACAAAAGGAGTCTCAATGTGCTAAAGCATTATAATTAAGCCCTATACTTTCCAAGAGATATACAACTTTCCACCTTCATGCTTATTCTACCTAAGAATGCCCCATTTTCCTCTCACTTGTAACAAAAATTTCTCCCTTTTAAAATGGCCTTTTCCTCCCAATTTTAGGAGTATGGAGTTGTCTCAAAGTCCTAAATACTCACAGCATGACAAAGTTATATTCATGGCCAAATGGCTCTGGATTAGGCACACGGTAGAGATGAGGAGAATTGGTAGTCCTGCTGCAGTTGAGGATTTCTAAGGTACAACGGCATAAGGTGGGACATAGCTCTATGGCTAAGTTTGAACTCTTAAGAGACAGTAATAGAATCCAAAGGAATATAAGGTGGGTAGTGGAGGCAGCAATATATTCCATGCTGCATATTTGACTCCAGGCTTGGAATATGGCAGCCAACAGTGGAAGTTATCCAGCAAACAATTATGGTGTTACCAAGCAACCACATCTACATGTCATTTCATATGGAGGCTGCAGGAGGCCACCACATTCTAAGAGTTCTATTTGATTGTAACATCATTTTACCATGATTCCTGACATTATAGAATTGCCAGAGCCATGGCAACAATAGGTAGTGGTCTTTTCATAAATTTATAAAGTTGATTTCATGAGATGACTCAGATATTTGTGATTAATTTTTTGGGCCATATTTCAACAGGAAAGTCAGACTGTAAGGCCTGGCTATCATTCTCCAGCTACTAAAACCCATCACTGTAAATTACCTAAAGCTAAAAAAAAAAAAAAAAAGGAGGGGGATAAGCAGTGGAAGGAGGAGGATAGGAAGACTTAGACTTATATACCATCCCATTATTCTTTACAGCACTCTCTGGGTGGTTTACAATGTCAGTATATTGCCCCTAACAATCTGGGTTCTTACTTTACTGACCTTGGAAGGATGGAAATGTCAGCCCTGCTGCGTTGGGGCTGCCATTCTGGTGGGGACAGCAAACAATGGAGAAATACGCCACCCGTCCCACATACCAGCTGCCCAGGAAGCCTTGCCTTGCTGCCTGTCGTTCGCTGGGTAGCTCGCCCTGCCTCCTGTTATCATCGCTGGCTTGCTTCCGTCATCCTGCTGCTTCTGGGACCATTGCCGTGGCCACTATCTTCTCGGTCATCGCTGGGACTGCCGCCGCCTCTCAGCTGAGAGGTGGATAGGAAGCAGCAGGTGGTCAGGCCGGAACCGGCCGGCTCCATACCTGTACATACCTGCTCCATACTTGCTTGAAGCAGGGGCACTGCCCAGGCCACCTGGAATTGATCAGGCCTTGCCCCGGTGTAATCGAGGCTTGTTAGCAGGGTCACCACCCAGGCTACCAAGGATCAATCAGGGCTTGGTAGCCCAGATGGGTGTGGCTGGGGATATGAGGCATTGCATGGCTGTGGGTGGTGGAGTTAAGGGGGTAGAGTCATGAGGTGAAGCACGGCAGCTTTAAAAATGTGGTGGGAGCACAGAGCAACTAAAGCTGACAATATGTCACTGAAACTGCACTGGGTGATTGTTGGAATGTGCCAGAGCACGGAGTTCTTCCAGCCAGGATGCAATGATCAGCACTTTGAAGAAATAATTGAAATAACAAAGCAGAGCTGCCGGAAAGAAGCTTTTAATGACAAGGAACCAAGATGAATGACATTCAGTAAGGTTTCTTGGCTAGCTACAAAGATTGACATGCAAACATGAGTTTACATACCCTTTCTGACTTTTGGTCTAAAACTGGTTTTTGGTGAAATTTAATTCTGTGCTTGGTGATGTTTAATCCTGTGTTTATTGATGGGATAATTTCCCCTATTCAGCTTTGTTTGGAAGGAAAAATGTTAATCTCTGTTCCTGAAAAGAAGCAGCTTCAGAAATCTGACTAGTTCCTGTGTCTATTTATTCTGGTAATTGGTTTAACAAGCAATAGCTACTGTGTTTGCTCCTTTGCTTCATTCTAGTGTTAATTGCTTTCTTTGTAGTTAGGCTTATCTAAAGTCCTTTTTCTATCTGGGGAGGGGGGTCTTCCTTCACTGCTTTAGTGGTTCTTGGCACTGTCCTTTTGGGGTGTACTTCAAAGAGGCAGGATGCAAGCTTGGCACTGATTTTTTTTACTGCCTTTCTGGGGGGAATGTGATCTTTCCTTAAATCTCGATGATTTCCTTAGGTTATCTTATGAGGTGAGTAAAACTAGCTGGTATCTTTAAGTGGTGCAAATGGATCTAAGGATTGCTTCTCCCGGGTGTGCTCTTTCTGGAAAGCTTAAATGACCTCTCTGCTAACGGGTTTCACTTTATGAGCAAGAGTTGGCTGTTGATAGTTATCATTACATTTTAACTATTTTGATTCTTCAAGGTGCTCTGGCACCCTGCCTGATTTGTAATTCCGGCTTGCAGGCATTTCTAAACTAATGATTGGTATTTAGGGCAGCTTTTTGCAAGCAAAGAAGCTTTTTGTATTTAGTACAGGTAATCCTTGACTTACAACAGTTCATTTAGTGACCATTCAAAGTTATAATGGCGCTGAAAAAAGTGACTTATGACTGTTTTTCATGCTTACGACTGTTGCAGCATCCCCATGCTCACGAGAGGCCAGGCGAGGTGAAGCACCCCTCGACATGAGTGACATCGAGTTGGCCACACCCACCCAATCACAAGACCACCAAGCCATGCCCATCAAGTAGTAAAAAAATTTGAATCCCACCACTGCCTATAACCCTGTGTCAGGCGAATTCCCTCCCTGGCCAAGTTGTTTATTCAGCAGAATGCTTTCAGGTGACTGCCTACTGTGGTACTATCTATGAGGCAGAAAACTCCCTATTCTGGTTCCTTTATCTATGGGGCCTGATATTCCTGAATAACAATTTCTTTTATATTTTCAAGGATGTGCCTAGCAAAGAACAGAAGCGAAACATAGAAGCAAGATAACAAGCTTTTCACTAATGCCAACCAGTATCAAGTATACAATTTACTAAGCTAGAATTAATTCCTAACAAGTGATTTCTGACAGTATTCTGACAATAATATAAGCAGTAGCCAATAACAAAGCTCAATTCCTAATCAATGATTTCTAGCAGTATAGCATATCATAACAGAAGCAAATAGCAAATATCAGTTTAATTACTATGCTGCTTCATTTGTCTTTAAAACAACAACATGGCATAGCTCCTGAGCATCTTCTCCCTTTCCTCAGGAAAGAAAAGGACTACAGGGCCCAGACCAGATAGAAGCAATGACTGAAGAGGGAGAAAAAAACGCACGCTTAGGCCAAATTCAATCAAAACTTACAAGGTTGAAGGCCAAATATGGCTCTTTCAGGCTCGTGATTCAGTGTGCATGTTTTTCAATGAGACAAACCGAGAAAGAAAGATCATTTTATTGCAATTTATCAGAATATTCAGACAAAAGGGCTTCTTCTCATTCAGAGGAACACCGATCTTTAGCTTACATCCTCTTTTATAGTTAACATAACAAAGAAATCTGAAAGAGAAAAGTTGATTGGACAGGATAATAGCATACATGTTTATTAAAATAAGGCCTGAAGGAGCATAAATTGTAAGGAGAAAGGTTGTTTAGAGTTCACAAAAGAGATAAGCCAGATCCCAATTTGTACTAACAAACTTTTCTTATCTGGAGCTAGTCTCCAGCTTGTTTATCAGTTTAGGAATGTTAAAAGCTAATAAACCTGAACATCATTTTAAAAGAGAGAAAATAAATCAAATTAAAATACGAAATAAATACTGTATTTTTCGGAGTATAAGACAAACCTTTCCCCCCACTAAAAGAGACTGAAAATTTGTGTGCGTCCTATACTCCAAATGTAGCTTTTTCGAAGCTTTTTTCATTCCTAATGAGGCACTAATGAGGCATTAGCGAGCGATCTTCCCAGCTTTGCCTGCCCCCTCGACTTTCCCCTGGGCTTTAATGAGGCGCGATCTCCATGCTTTGCTCCAACTCTCAGCTGTTCTTTAGAAGCTTTTTTTCAGCCCTAACTAGGCGCTAGCTGAGTGAAGCGATCTCCCCCCCTCCCGACCCCCGTACTTTGCCTGCTTTTCTCATTGCTGCTTCCTCTCAGCTGTGCCTTAGAAGCTGTTTTTTATCCTCAAGCAGGGGATAAAAAACCAGCAAACTAATGTGATGAACCTGACCAGACTAAGGACACTAGCTAGATGAGTACCCTGTAGGCAGATTTCTCTCCCCCCCCACATTTTCCTCCCCAAAAACTAAGCTATGTCTTATACTCCGGTGCGTCTTATATTCCGAAAAATACAGTATGTTAGTTAACAAATTACAAAACCCATGTCATTTGCCCCTCAGGGAGCATAATCCCTTTGGGGTCCCTGAGATTGGCTCGTGTTACATCACTGTTCTGTGAGCTGCATTGGCTGCTGACTTGCTTCCAGTCGCAATTCAAGGTGTTGGTAATTACCTTTAAAGCAGGGGTAAAATGTAAAATTTGTTACTATCGGTTCTGTGGGCGTGGCTTGGGGGGGTAATTTGACTGGGTGGGCGTGGCCAACTTAAAAAAAAAAACTTTTCAAAGCATTTTTTCTGCAAATGCAAAAAAATGCTTTGAAAAGGCTCTGCCAATCAGGCAACACCTGGGATCGTCAGAGGCTTTTCAAAGCATTTTTTTAACCACCTCTTCCGCTGAAGAGGTTGCAGAAAAAAAAAGTCTCTGTGATGATCCCAGCTGAGTTGCCTGATCGGCAGAGCCTTTCAAAGCATTTTTTAACCACCTCTTCCCCGGAAGAGGTTGCAGAAAAAAATGCTTTGAAAAGCCTCTGACGATCCCAGCTGAGCCGCGCGATCATCAGAGGCTTTTTTTTTACTTTTAAAAGCATTTTTTCGGCAGAAGAAGTTGTAGAAAAAATGCTTTTAAAAATAAAATTTAAAAAAAGCCTCTGATGATCGTGCGGCTCAGCTGGGCATGGTAGGCGGGGGGGGGGCAGGAATTTTTGCTACCGCTTCTCCAAACCCCACCACCACCATCGCTACCGGATCAGGTGATCCGGTCCGAACCGGAAGCATTTCACCCCTGCTTTAAAGACCTTAATAGCATGGCTCCAGGTTGCTTGAGGAGTGTCCATCATAATGGGATTGGTGTGCCCCACTCGTGCCTGCAGAGGAGGCATGCTGTGGACCCTGTCGGCCAGGGTATTCCTGCTGTAAGTGTCTAGGAAAAGAGTTCAATGATTGTTCATTGTGTAAAAGAGTTCATTGTGCAAAATACCAATAAGCAATCATTGTTTAAAATGAGGTGTAAACTCCACTTCCTTATATTATGCAGTGAGATACCTTCAGAGCAGTTTTCTGAAATGGTGCCCTCCCATTGCAAGGCTGTTGTGTCCTGCTGGCATGTCAGGCAGAGTAAAGCTTAACGAAGGCAAGATAGGCAGGCCCAACTACTGGAGCATTTCTGTGGAGTCTTTCAGAATGGAGCAGTCCAAAGGCAGAGAAGGTAAGATACAGAGCGTGCTGGAGGGAAGAAAGGCAAACACACAAAACAATCTATTAGAAAAGGTAATCTTTGTGGAAAAGCCAAAGGGTCTCAGATCGTGGGTTGTGAACAAATAAGAGTCACAATTTTCCTGGAAGTTGATTATGCTTGGACAGGAGGCAAACTGAAGATTGCTCATTCTTGCTTTGCTGGGCAAATCTATAGTAGTGATTCAGTTTCATGCTGGCTGATGAGTTCCAGTGTGCTTACATTTGGAGTGCAAGTAATCCTTGACTTAAGAATACAATTGAGTACAACATTTTTGTTCCAAAGAGAGACATTTGTTAAGCGAGTTTGCCCCATTTTACAACATTTCTTACCACAGCTGTTAAGTGAATCACTGCAGTTGTTAATAACACAGTTGTTAATAAATCTGGCTTGCCCACTAACTTTGCTTGTCAGGTCACAAAAGATGATCACATGATCCTGGGACACTGCAACCGCCATAAATGTGAGCTACTTGCCAGGCGTCTGAATTCTGATCACATAACCATTGGAATGCTGCTGAAGTGGTTCGGGAATAACGAGAGGCACAACCAAGCAAGTGACAACAGCTCTTTAATTTACAGTGAGACTTCAGCAAAAACTCAGAGGCTGCAGCCCTCCTTATATACAATCCTGGAGGGACTGTCAGCCAATCAGAAACGTAGGCAGGTTTGAAACTCCCGCTCAAAAGTATCAATACATAACACCCCTCCCTTCCCAGAAGGCACTGGGCACAAAAGGCACAAAATTTACATAAGTACACACAAAATCTCGCAGGTGCCCAGGGCGAGTTCTCGTCCTAGTTGACCTGCGCAGTTCAGTGTTTGGTGGGGCGTCGAGCTGGTCGGAGGGACTTTCTGTCTCTCCCGGCTCCGCCAATGGAACCTCCTGGATTTTGTCCGGGGCGTGGTTATCCCCGGTTGGGAGTGGCGACTCGCTGGGGCAGCGCTGGAACCAGGGCTTGTCAGCTAAGTATTCTCGCGAACCCGGGCTTGAGTTAGCTGTTTTGGGAAAGTTGTTATAGTTAGGCTCGGATATGTCTAAATTTATGTTTGCTTCGCCGACTACCCTTTTTCTCAGCTGGTCTATGTGGCGCTTCCAGAGTCTGTCTACCCCAACGTCTACCATATAAGATTTCGGGCCCGTTATGCCCACTATGGTTCCTGCAACCCATAGAGGTCCGCTGGCATAGTTGCGAGCGAACACCGGGGACCCAACCTGAAACTGTCTTAGTCCGGAGGTCTCTCCCTTGAAATTTTCGTGCGAATAGTTGGGGTGAAGCCTATCTAACACGCACCGGAGCTTCCTGCCCATGAGGAGCTCTGCTGGGCTTCTCCCTGTGGCTGTGCATGGTGTGGCATGCTGGACAGCTAAGAATTGATCTATCCTGGCCTGCCAGTCCCCGTTATCTAGTCTGGATAGGGCCTCTTTGGCCGTTCTTACAAAACGTTCGGACAATCCGTTAGAAGCCAGGTGGAACGGGGCCGATAGGGCATGGCGGATGCCCAGTCCGGCCAAGTATCCCTCGAACAGGGTTGCTGTGAACTGAGGGCCGTTGTCAGATACTAGGGTATCCGGTAGGCCATGTGTGGCAAACAGCTTGTGAAGGGCTTTAATAACAGCCTCGGCTGTGGTAGAGGGCATTAGAATGATTTCAAGCCATTTCGAAAAGGCATCTACTACAATTAAAAACGTTTGCCCATGGAAGGGGCCAGCAAAATCAATATGGATCCTCCCCCATGGCCCTTTTGGTTTCTCCCACTCTCGGATGGGCGCTACCGGGGGATCGGGGCGAGACTCCTGGCAGGGTCTGCACTTCCCCACCCACTCAGAGATAACTTGGTCCATGTTGGGCCACCATACGTAACTGCGGGCTAAACTTTTCATTCTGACAATGCCCGGATGCCCTTCGTGCAACAATTCTAAGACCCTCGTTCGTAGTTTTGTTGGCACTACCACCCGATCACCCCACAACAAACAACCACCTTGCGTAAACAGTCCGTTTCGTTTGTTTACAAAACCTTGATAGTCCCCCCCGTCCACTTTGACCGTCCACCCTTTTAGCACCCACCCCATCACAGTACGAATGATCGGGTCCCTGGCTGAGGCTTTAGCCACTTCGGCAGAGGAAATAGGTCCCAAAGTTAATGTGTCCAGTAGAAGGACGGAGGCCTCAGGTGTTGGATTGGTCAGTAAGTCAGGTAGGGGACAGCGGCTGAGGGCATCTGTGTGACCCAGGGTCCGTCCAGGTCGATGTACAAGCTGGTATGAATAGGCCGAAAGAAAAATAGCCCATCTAGTCAAGCGTGGGGACAGAGCAGCGGGGGTGGGCCTGTCGCCTGCCAAAAGTCCTAGCAAGGGCCGGTGATCAGTCACAAGTTCGAATTGCCGGCCAAAGAGATATTCGTGGAACTTTTTAACCCCCGCAATTGCAGCCAGAGCCTCTCTGTCCAATTGGCTATAGTTTCGCTCTGCGCTTGACAGGGTGCGAGAGTAAAACGCAATGGGCGCCTCTAGGCCGTTCGGAAGTCTATGGCCCAGGACGGCACCAACTCCTACGGGGGAGGCGTCACAAACCAATACAAGCGGTAGCGCTGCGTTGTATTGGATTAGGAAACTGTCTTCTGATAGAAGTCTCTTAATTGCCTCAAAAGCGGCTGCTTGTGGTTTCCCCCAGATCCATGGTACATTCTTCCCCAATAGTTTGTGTAGGGGATCTGCAACGGTAGCTTTGTCCTTCAGGAACATTGAGTAAAAATTGAGCAGTCCAAGGAAGGCTTGGAGCTCAGCTTTGGTCTTGGGGGCAGGTGCGCTCTTAATTGCTCTCACCTTGCTTTCGGTAGGGTGGATGCCTGTGCCGTCCACCCTGTACCCCAAAAATTCAACGGAGGGGACAGCGATCATACATTTATTTTTCTTTAACCTTAGTCCCGCTTCCCTAAATCTAGAAAGGACGTTCCTTACTCTGTCCCCTAACTGACGTTCGTCCTGAGCACTGACTAGAACGTCATCAAAATAGGGCACCACTCCGGGAAGCCCTTGCAGAAGGCGCTCCATGGTGCTTTGAAACAGGCCGGGTGCGACGCTCACCCCAAACTGGAGCCTGGTGCATTTGAATGCACCCCTGTGAGTAACAATCGTTTGTGCCTCTGCCGTGGCATCATCAACTGGTAATTGTTGATAGGCCTGAGCCAGGTCTAATTTGGCAAAAAATTTTCCGGGCCCCAGGGAGTGTAGTAGATGATGCACGATCGGCACCGGATAGGCGCTCGGCTGCAAAGCCTTGTTGATCGTGCACTTGTAGTCGGCGCAGATTCTAATTGAGCCGTCAGACTTTACTGGGGTCACTATAGGGGTTTCCCACTTTGCATGGTCAACGGGAACCAACACCCCTTGTTTAATCAGTTTGTCCAGTTCCGCATCGATCTTTGGTTTCAATGCGAAAGGCACCCGTCTGGCCTTGAGTCTTATTTGGGCTACGTTGGGGTCTAAATTAAGGGAGATAGGGGTTCCCACATACTTGCCCAACGTGTCCCCGAAAACGTCCTGGAACTCGGTCAGGAGACTGTCTTTTAACGATGACTTGAGCATCTGGTGGACGCCGGTAAAGCCCATGCCGAGGGCTCGGAACCACCCCATGCCGAGAAGGCTGGGAAGCTGCTTCGTGATGATGGTCAGTGGCAGGTCTCTTTCGTAGTCTCCGTAGGTGACTCGGAACGTGCCCACGCCTTCGAGGGGGACTCGGTTCCCCTGGTAGTCTAGGATGCGCAGTCTCTGTTTGGAGAGCTGGTCCTTCCGGAACGACGGCAGGAGGGTCTTTAGGGTCACCCAAGACATTATGGAGAGAGCCGATCCGGTGTCGATCTCCATTGAGCATGGCTTGCCGTTGATTTCGACCACCGTGCTGACTTTGTCCTCGATTTCCGCGCTGGCCTGGTCTATGTGAATGCTGCGGCCATCTCGAGGTTCAAATTCGCGCCGTTTTTTCGCGCCGCCTTCTCTCGTTGGTTGTTTCTGGCGCGTTGATTCTGGTTGGCTGCGGCGCTCACGTGGTTGGAGTTTTCTGGGCAGAATGGCTCTACAGACTCGCGCCAAGTGCCCTTTTTTCTCGCAACGCCTGCAAATAGCCTCCCTATATTTGCAGGACAGTCTGTCATGGTGCCCTCCACAGCTGGGACAGCTTCGCCGAGGGCTGCCAGTGTCCTTTCTCTGGTGCTCCGTTCGGAAGACGTCTTCATCCGACTCGGACTCCGAGCTGGATCCGGCGTCTTCTCTGTGCACCGGGGCAGACTTGGGGTTGTCTTTGCTGGTCAGCGGACGCTGCAGCGTTTCTGTGGCTTTTGTGGAGGCTTCATGAGCCCTGGCCTCGTCTAGGGCTCCAGCAAGCGTTAAATCAGGCTTGGCGAGCAGGCGCCGTTGCAGCCTAATGTCCCGGACACCACAGATGAGTTGCTCAAGCAACGCATCGTCCAAGTCTCTATAGTCGCAATGGGTTGCGGCTTTTCTCAGGCTGGCCATGTATGCGCTGACCGGTTCTCCCTCTCGCTGTACGCGCTGTCTGAGTTGGTATCGTTGCACGAACTTGGAGGGCACGGGAGCGTAGTGAGCCCGGAGTGTGGCCATCAGGATGTCCCAGGAAACGGTCTGGACCGGCATTGGCTCGCACAGTGACTCTGCCATCTCGAACACGTCCGGTCCGCAGTGGCTTAGGAAGAGGGCCCTCTTCCGATTAGCGGAGAGCCCTTGCATGTCGCTGGCTTCGAGCGAGCATTCGAACCTCGTCAGGTACGAGACCCATTTTTCGCGGGTCGGATCAAAAGGCTTGGGCAGAACGTAGGCAGACATGTTCGGTATGCCTCCTGTAGTTTGCCTCGTCGCCTAGCTGAAGCTCGTGGTCTCACTGGTTCGCTTTGTTGTGACCTCAATCCCACCTTCGTCGCCAATGAAGTGGTTCGGGAATAACGAGAGGCACAACCAAGCAAGTGACAACAGCTCTTTAATTTACAGTGAGACTTCAGCAAAAACTCAGAGGCTGCAGCCCTCCTTATATACAATCCTGGAGGGATTGTCAGCCAATCAGAAACGTAGGCAGATTTGAAATTCCCGCTCAAAAGTATCAATACATAACAGCTGCAGCAGTCTTAAGTGTGAAAATCAGTCATAAATCACTTTTTCTGGGGAATATTTTGCAGCGCGAGGGACATGTAACTTCAAACATCACTAAACAAATGGTTAGAAGGCAAATCATCAACTATGGATCACTAAGCCATCTGTTGGCTGAATCAAGTCATTGCGGTTATAAGTCAAAGATCTTTTACTCAAGCCAATTTCAATTTCTTCAGCAACACAATTTAGGGTGACTCGTGAACATAAATAAAAGATTAGAGGATTTTTATGTTACTTCTGAGTTTACACAGTATGCTGAACTATGGTTAGCTGCTTATGGAATAAGCCATGATTGACTGGGTTCATCTGTCCTATGGATTACAAATGACATGACTGTGTTCACACAACATACAGTCTTAAACTACTTACTTGTAATTTGTTCAAGAAATGAAATGTAAATTTGACAGAGTAGGTTCTCAAACTAAAGTGATTTTTCATATATAAATACCAAATTGCTTCATTGATGCAATTACATCTTAGGGACTTTTGTTTTAAATGTTTTAATTAAAAATTTAATTTTAAATATTTTAATTTAGTTTTGTTTTAAATGCTTTAATTTTGTCGAGTTGGTTTGGTCTAATGGTTCAGGCACCAGATTAGATTAGGCCTACCTGAGCCCCTCTTCACAGGAGCCCCAAGGATGCCCCTGGCCTCCTTCGGGCAGATCCGGCTCTGGGCACTAGATTAGTCCCTTGCGAAGCCCATTGTCTGCCAAGGAGCCCAGCCAAGGCCTCACTCGCCGCCCACTGAGGTGCCTGGACTCCTGGTGATGGATGGGGTCCTTCAGGCACTTAGCTTGGCTGTCTGTTTAGTAACTCCAGCCCTGCCCCATGAGTGCCTTGTCAGAGCTGCCTTGGGGTTTTGTTTTGTTTGCGCGGACGTCGCGGGGGGGGTGGGGGGCTGGTTAGAAGAGAACCGAGATGCCAAAATGGCCTCAGGAGAGGCCGGACAAGGCAAGGAGGGATGGAGGGGAGGGACAAGGGGCGGGACCAGCCAGTGGTGGGATCAGCTGGATCGCTGAACTGCACACAAAGTTAACAACCAGTTTGACCGAACCAGGCCGAAGTGGCTGAATCCCACCTCTGGTCTTCACCCAGACATTTGCTACACTCCTTTTTCTGCATTCCCATCCAGATTTTTTTCCCTGCCAAATTTTATCTTCTGTTTTTTCACCACATTTTACTCAATCCATGATATCTTCTGGCTCATATGCGGGCTAGGGAAGAACATCTGAAGGCATGTGTAATGTTCTAATGTACAGAAGTTATAATTAAATGTGTGGCAAAAGTGTTTTTCCAAATGCAGTAAGTTAGGTTGAATGTGTATAGTTTTAGAAGAGCTGTGTGTGTGTGTTTATACATACACATACAGTATATATAGAAGATAATGTATCTTTTTGTGTGCCTCTACACACTCTATATTATGTAATATGTATGTACACATATGGCATATATATATATAGGATGAAAGAGTATATTTTGGATGTTCAGTAGTAGTAAATAAATAGACAGGGAAATTGTATCTTGTTGAGGCTTTTGAGATGAGGAGAGGACAGGCACTCTAAACCTAACCCTAATCCTTGACGTGAATGATGTCAAGTTGACCATGCCCACCCAGTCACATGATCACCAGACCACATCACCCAGTCACATGACCACCAAGCCATGCCCACCAAGCAAGCCACACCCACAGAACCGGTAGTAAAAAAATTTGAATCTCAGCACTGAAACACACGGTCAGACAAAAAGGAATCAAGTGTCTATACACCAACACACAGAATGAGGAATAAACAGAGTAATTAGAAATTCAAGTAAACGAGGGCAGATATGATATTGTTGCTATTACAGAAGCTTGGTGGGATGAAACCCACAAATGTAACATACAGCTAGAGGGATTTAAATTATTTAAAAGAAACAAACCAAATAAAAGAGGAGGTGGAGTGACCCTTGGGGGGTGGGGTTGATCATGCAATATTGGAATTCAACATTATGCAAGCACAAGCAATAGAACAAAGTCAAACTAGAGTCTTGGAGTTTAAGAGAACTAATTTCAATAAACTTAGAGAGAGTTTGGGAAGGATTCCATGGATGAGAATCCTCAAGGGTAAAACAACCAAAGAAACCTGGGAAACTTTGAAAAGTGACATTATAAAAGCCCAATGTAGCATAATATCAATGAAGAAGAAGATTAACAATAGCATGGCTGCATAGAGAACTCTCTGATAAATCAAAAGACAAAAATGACAAGTATAAAAAGTGGAAAGAGGGGCACATAACTAATGCAGAATATCAGCAAACATCTCGAGCCTGCAAAGATGAAGTGAGAAAAGCTGAGGCTCATAATGAATAAAGGCTTGTGACAAAAGTCAAAAATAACAAAAAAAGCTTTTTCAATATGTAAAAAACAAGAAAAAATTCAGGGAAATGATTGGTCTATTAATGGGAAAAAGTGGCAAGAAGGTGACAAGAAACAGGGATAAAGCAGAACTATTTAACTCTTTCTTTTTGTATCTATCTTTACACAAAAGGACAAAACACTTGAACTTATCAAAAATAGCACTGTAAAAACAGATTAGGAACACAAGTTAAAATAGGCAAGAAAATGATAAGTGAGCACTTGTCCACCCTAGACCAGTTCAAATCACCAGGACCAGATGGATTGCATTCCCAAGGTTCTGAAAAAACTGGCAGACAAGATCTCAGAACCAATGAACTATATCTTTCAGAGATCCTGGAGCACCGGGGAGCTACCAGAGGACTGGAAAAGAGCTGATTAGTTCCCATCTTCAAAAAAGAAAAAAAAATGGATCCAGGAAACTACTGATCACCACCAGATGGATTTGTAACTGGCTGACCAACCGCACTCAACGTGTAGTCCTCAATGGAACTGCATCTACATAGAGGGAAGTATGCAGTGGAGTACCTCAAGGCTCTCTTTTAGGCCCAGTACCCTTCAACATTTTCATCAATGACTTGGACGAGGGGATAGATAGGGAACTCATCAAATTTGCAGATGACACCAAGTTGGCAGAAATAGCCAACACTCCAGAAGATAGGCTTAAGATATAGAAGAATCTTGACAGACTTGAACATTGAAATACTGCATTCAGTTTTAGTCGCCACTATGTAAAAAAGATGTTGAGACTCTAGAAAGAGTGCAGAGAAAAGCAACAGAGATGATTAGAGGACTGGAGGCTAAAACATATGAAGAATGGTGGCAGGAACTGGGTATGTCTAGTTTAATGAAAAGAAGGACTAGGGGGAGACATGATAGCAGTGTTCCAATATTGCAGGGGCTACCACAAAGAAGAGGGAGTCAAGCTATTCTCCAAAGCACCTGAGGGTAGGACAAGAAGCAATGGGTGAAACTAATCAAGGAGAGAAACAACTTAGAACTAAGGAGAAATTTCCTGACAGTTAGAACAATTAATCAGTAGAACAACTTGCCTCCAGAGGTTGTGAATGCTCCAACACTGGACGTTTTTAAGATGTTGGACAACCATTTGTCTGAAATGGTGTAGGATGTCCTGCCTAAGCAAGGGGTTGGAGTAGATGACCTCCAAGGTTCCTTCCAACTCTTGTTATTCTATTCTATTTATTGGAATTGTTTGAAATAAATATAATAGTCTTGGTAAAATATTCATTTTTATAGTAGCTATTCTTCCTGTCAGCGACAGTTGCCAAGTTTTTCCATTTCTCCAAATCTGATTTGATTTGTTGCATCAGCTTAATATAGTGGTCCTCTTTAATCGTTGCACATTTTGCTGTTAGAGAACCATAATAAAATATTTTTTAAAATGAAAAAACTGATTCTCAGAATGGTTAGGAGATATAATCATGTTGTAGCACTGTGCACAATTAAGACATGTCCAACTATCAGGATTTACTTTCCCAATTTCTCAGACACCAATCTAAAACCAAGTCACAATTGGTTTCATTTTATAAATTCCAAATGCAGAGAGCAACTAGTGCTCATGCTCTTTTCATCTGTTTAAAAAGTTGCCCTGTCAGTGCCAAGCTCCTCAGTTACCATGATTCCTGAAATTTAAATTTCCAGATACATCTTTATTATTTTCATAGTACATAAATCTGTAACAGAGATTTTGCGATTACTACATTTTTCCATTTGGATATACCACAAGTCATTTATCTGATTTCATTTACTGTTTTTATTTCCATATAGTTTATACAGTTATAGATAGTTCCCTTTGGGGAATTATCATTGCCTATTACCACATTACAATTGTTTATATGTCCATTTGTCTTATGCTTTTATTCTGTATCTATATTTTTATGCTGTAACCTGCTAGTATTTTTGTTGAATCCAACAGTAGTGATCATGGTAGTAGTAGAAGAGGAGGAGGGGAAAAATGAGGAATAATTTGTCTATAGGATGGTTTAATTATGAATTTTTCATGTGTAAGATAGTTACTAATATATCTGGAGACATACATTTGATATCTGCATAATTTTGTTATATATTACGACTGCTGCATCTGCCTTGCTTCTTCCTGTCTCATCAACATCAGCACAACTTTCTAATTTTATTTTTTAGTTATAGTGCTCAATTATGCCTGCTAGACTAAAGAAGTTTCAAGCAAGACAGGGGGTCTAGGATAGTATACCACAAACTGCTTAACTCATTTCAGTGTTTCCCATGAGAAGATCCATTTTCTCATTGCAAAATTTTTCATGGAATATGAAGGCTCATTGTACTGTAATTTTCTTAAAGTTGAAGTTTTAAATTAAACTTGAAAGTTTCAATTCACTGTTTTGAATAATGTGTTTAAAAGAAAACTTTGTATTCAGTGGTTCTCATAACAGCTTGGGTTTCTTTGTGTTCTTTAATTATTATGTCTAACTGTTATTTATCATTTCTCAATGTTATTTAACTTTTTCTCCATTGAAAGGAAAATGAAGGGCCTTTGTTCTTCCTTTTATTTGTGTTTTAGCCTTTGTTCTGAAGACAGAAAAAGCTCTTTAGCGTCTTAGTCACATCATATTCGTTTGACTTCTGAAAACATGGCCAGTATTTCTAATATTTAAATGTATTTGATTTTATACTGTAATTTATCTTCAGATATAGAGGTTTTCCTAAAAAAAATTAAGGAAAAAAAAATCAACATCCCTACCCCATCTTTGCTAACAATTTTCTCTCCTCAAATATCTACAATAGTGCCTATTTATCCACAACTAATGCTGATTTAATGAGGGATGGATTGGGAAATGGAACTGGTCTGAGAGGAGATTTAGCCCTCCGCATATCCTGGGGGGCATGAAAGTGGGGTATAATATAGTACTATTAAAAGTATCTTAAATCCCACTACCTTGCTTCATCTATTTTCTCTGACGAGGAGAATCTAGTATCTGCAGCTGTTTATCCTAAATTAAAACTGTGGGCCATAAGCGACAGCTGGATGGCTTACTTTGGGTGCCTGGATTTTTTGTCAAATCCTCAGCAATTGCTAAACAACTTACTGGTTGCTAAGGATGGCAATCAGGGCCGGGTTTTCCTATAGGCTAACTAGGCTTCAGCCTAGGGCCTCAAGATCAAGAGGGGCCTACATTCAAATTGTTAGCAAAATTAAAATTACACTTTCACTATAGGTGAAAGGGCCTCATAAGTGGAATAGCCTAGGGCCTCTTTTCATCTAAATCCGGCCC